CTCAGCACCACGTCTACCCGTCTGTTAAATACCTCCAGGGATGGCGACTCCACCACTGCCCTGGGCAGCCTGTGCCAGTGCTTGACAACCCTTTCGGTGAAGAAATTTTTCCTAATATCCAGTCTAAACTTTGGTCAAACTCATGTTCTTCAGGCCAAGACTTTTGTTAAATTAACAGAAAATGCTGTTTGACAAAATGCAAAGAAAAATTACTATCTGACCAAGTCAAAGTTGGTTCAGTCATTTAACTGAGCATCTTCAGACCAAAACTGCAGTGTGATCCAGTCCCTCCTCTGAGCATTATATACTGTTCCCTTCAAGTTCTCCAGAAAGTCTACCCACCTGCGGTTTTATAGGTCCCAACGTTTCCACAAAGAGACTGTCCTCCAAACTAACAGACTGGGCAATGGGTTGACTTCAATTACCTGGATTTTTTGTATTTATATGAAATTTTAATTTTTAAATTTAATCTCTTCCTCTCTACTGACAATACTTTCTGAACTTCTTAAACATATTTGCAGGCCCCAAAGCAATTAGCATTGCTTCTTTCTTTTTCTTTTTTTTTTTTGCCTTTCTAATTCTGGCTTTGGTGCAGTTATTGTTTTATTTGATTTGTTTTCTCAATCTGTTGACCAGCTGGTTTACATTTCAGAGAGGATTTCTGTCAGCATCACAGTCTACTCCTGCAGAGAAACTTTCCAAGATTACAGCCTTACAGGCCAAATCACACACAAAAAAGTATTACATTACTTCTAGCAAAGCTCCATCCATTCCTAAGCAAAAAAAAAAGAAGTTACTTCTGTGCTTCATTTACATTTCCTATACATACAGTAAGAAAACCTACTCCATTGCAGTTCTCTGGAGTTTAGGAAAGGCCACATTTGTAATGTCTTCATAAAATCTCAATAGTTCTATATTCCTGTCTCTCCAGATTACAACTATAAGAGCAAATGATACCTACTCTCCCCACCAACTTCTCTTGGCTATAAGAAATGAGAAGCTTAATACCCACTCACATCAGCCAACACCTCCATCAAGAGTTCAAGATTCAGTTCATTCATAGTTATTCACTGAGAGGTCATTTAGTCGCTTTGTGGAAGGATCTTCTCCTGCCAAATATTTGCTTTTGTAACAACATAATAGACCCATGTTTTGCTCTCTGTGCACAACGTTCATTGTCAGTGCTGTCCTACACGAGGATGCGGAGACGTTGGCATTTGGGGGATGCTGCTTTCATATAAGCCAACCACAGGGGGGGCAGAGGGACTCAGTACATTTGTGGAGCCTGAAAACCCAGTGTTAGTGCTGGACAAAACAAACGCAGGCGTCTGATTCAGAAAAAATAAATACTAACTTCTTCCCACCCTGATTTTGCTATTTGGATTATTGCCTAGATAATTCATTTGAAAACCAAATCCGGCCCAGCAACTGTCTTGAAAATTGAGTAACCTCAGGTTCAACTGTATTAAAAAACTCCAGCTTCAGGCAAAACTGATGGAACAGCTCATTCGCAGCACTTTCCCCAAGCCCTGGCCCTCATTTTATGTTTTTCTGATTACACTTACGTTGTGTTACAATTTACTGGCAGCACTATTGTGTTATAATATATATTACCACGAGCCGACTGTGACTGGATGCATTCAGCTTCATCAACAGCTAAAGACGCGTGGCTCAATGCATATTCATTGCTGTATCGCCATTTCTCAGCTGTTAAAACAGCTGCATGAATCAGCAACAAGTTCCACAACTTAAAATAGATGTCACCCTGCAGGATACATGGGCTCAACGCGCATCATGATTCTCACTCGCAGGCTGGTAGGAGCTAGGGACGTGGTGCCCTTAACAACAGGATTGCTCTACTCAAGCATGGCTCAACCCTAAAGGTGTAAGCCACATTAACGTTTCAGTTTGGAACAGAAGCGTGCTTTTGTAATAAATCTCCTGATCACGGTCACTTGTCGTGGTTTGGTTCCCATCACAGAGTGGTCTGGGGATGGATGAACCCAATTCCTTTTGATGGAGCGAAACCAGAAATGCACCACTGATTGCCATCTGCTAGCGGCACCTGGTTCTGAGGACCAAAGCCCAGCTACTGAAGAGCAAACCCTCTGGAAATGCACAGTGTGTCCTGGGTCCTCGCTATGAACTGGTTTGTTCCACAGATCTGCTCTCCTCAGCCCACGCTGCTTCCTAAACGTAGACAGAGCTGAATGCAGCTATCTGACTTCTAGAGAGGAGCAAGAGCTTCAGGCCAGCCTGTCATGGGGGCAGGAATTCCTGAGACAAACCTTGGGGTTGGGTGGTCTCTATCCTCAGTGAACAAACACATTTCCTTTAAGTTAACAATCATATCTGGCTTTATGAAAAAAAAAAACCAAAACAAAAAAACAACAACCAAACCATCTAGCAAACACATAATTTCCTGTTTGGAGGACATTCTTAACTCTCTTCCAGGTCCTCAGCCCGAAAAGACATCTAAGAGCACACGCTCAATTCACAGAATCATAGAATCATTTAGGTTGGAAAGGACCTTGAAGATCATCGAGTTCCAACCCCCCTGCCATGGGCAGGGACGCCTCCCACCAGCCCAGGTTGCCCAAGGCCACCTCCAGCCTGGCCTTGAACACCTCCAGGGATGGGGCCTCAACAACCTCTCTGGGCAACCTGTGCCAGTGCCTCACCACCCTCACAGGGAAAAACTTCTGCCTAATGTTTAATCTAAACCTGCCCTCTTCCAGTTTAGAGCCATTCCCCCTCGTCCTATCGCTACGCGCCCTAGTAATCAGTCAACAAGCAAATAAACCACCTTTGCTTTTATCCATTTGCTGTGCCAAAAATCTGTATAGAGTCACTCATCCAGGTTGCAGTTATGGTACTTTTAATATTTGCTAGTCCTTCCCCCGACTGGGGCACACACCGCTGCTTATCATGGGAAAATCAAGTGTTATGCCATCCCCACAGGTTTTTGTCTGTCGTTATCAGGTGCAGAGATCAGCATGTGTCACTGCTAGAAGGGTTTAGTATTTATTTTCAATTGCTGCAATAATAAGGAAAGTGGTCGTATTACATTTACATTAAAATAATATAATGCAAAACATTTAATATGAAAAGGGATTCCCGAACATACTGTTTGCTCAGTATGTTTCCCATACAACCATTCCACTGCTACTGCAATACCACAGTAGATAATATTGTAGATATTGTTGTTAATAATACACAGAAACCACATATCCTCTAGGAATTTTGGTACATATTTGCTGTGTTTCCTTAGTTGGCAACACAGCCCCTTCCTTCCCCCTACTTCAGTGCAAAAACAAACTCAACATGTGATCACTTACAGAGTTGTGCCTAATTATATAAATGTACTAATTACACACACTTTTCAAATGGTGATAGACTTCAAAGTAGGTAAATTTTAAATTGTGCCATTAAGGAAATCTATTTGATGATGGAAATTTCGGTAATATCATATTGCAATCTCCTACATCGTAATCTCGCTTCCAAGTCGGTATTAATTTAATGACAAATAGCAGCAGAGAATAATAGAGCTGGGAAAGCAAACCCAAAGCTGTAAGATTTACGGCGTGACATTGGTCAGCAGATGCTAACAAAAAAGGATCAAAAACAATTTGGAAAAGCAATGGCTCTAAGGTAAACAATGAGTAGAAAGAAGTTCTACGTGATAAATATGAATCCCGAACCTTCAGAAACTACTCCATTAACAAAGATAAACACCTGCAAGACTGGCTTATCCCCATGTGTTCAGCTACTCATGGGAAAATATCTATGTCACTGATCACTTATTTTACATGCACAGTTATCACACTGCTAGGAACGACTTGCAAATTAGTTACTTGCAGCTCAAAGCACCTCTTTGCATGCAAAATAACGCCAACCGCACGTACAAACCAGCCCCACAAGCGCGCACGCGGCTCAGCCCACCAACGTCAGACACACGTCTGTGAAAACCCAACTGCCGCACAAGATTTCAGCACACGTACCTCTTTTTTGGACCTCTGACCGATACACACTTTTCAACACACAGTTCTTTAACATTAGATATTCCCCAGAAAAACAATGGTTCAACATAACATTTCAGTGAAGCCATAGGATAAGCAAACAGTACAATGAATAACGATAAGCCATACTATAAGTGAGTGTATGAAAGGTGATATTCTTTTAGCACTACTTAACAGTTACTCTGTCTATTGCCCTGATATCATAGGTGAGCAGTTTATTTCATATAAGAATTTATGCACCTCTGCTGTAGAATCTGGATCTTGCATTGACAAGACCACGAGGCAGATCAGACAGCAATTACAATGCAGCAACACTACAGGACACTAATCCCTCTGCCTTTAGTTAAATAATAGCTCATGTGGCAGGGAAGAGACAGAATCCATCTGCACTGAAAAATAGGACTACTGTGTATAGAAAGGGAAATGGTCGATCTTCTCTCACACAAATCCTAGTGTCAAAACAAATAGTCTCACTAAGTAATGGGCTGTCACATTTAATCAAAGCCATTTATGGAATGGTTTGATAGAAGCATCTTATAAACAGCAGGTGGGAGATCCTGAGTTACCAGGCTCAAATATTGATCAGAACTTTCCCCCAACGTTCAAGAAATCTAGAGACTGAGATTTTGGCTACACCCACCAGAGTATGGGGTCCAGATAACGCTTCAACAGCTTTAAGATGAGAGACTTTTGCTCTGGTCCACCCACATAAAAAAAATCTCTAGGAGAGATTAAAACTGTCTCTGCACAAGTAACTATTTTTCTTTCTGCATAGTTATAAAATGACAGATATATTAAAAAAAAAAAAACATTTCACAAAAGTTGGAATTTAAAGCAAATACGATGCACGTTCAGTATTGGAATGAGGAGCTCCAACAGCAACACAGAGACAATGCACAGCGCAAGTGATTCTGTGATAATCGGTGACATCTTTGACCTCCGTTGACATGCGAAGCAATTTCACACCCTGCCCAACGTTACCTTTTGATATTCTTCCTTAGATCTCAAGGCAGCTTCCATCTGTTCCTGCGAAAACGTGTAGATGGCCGAGCGATACTGTGTGCCAAAGTCATTACCTTGTCGCATTCCTGGGGAGAGAGAAATCACAGTGCACCATGAGGATCATCCTCACTACCTCACCGGGCTGCAGGCAGAAGTTCAACAGACCTAAATTTAGGACATCCCATATACCTGGATTAGCACAGTCTCTTATGTGCATCCTCAGTAGGTATTTTTAGGAATCATAGAATGGTTTAGGTTGGAAAGGACCTTGAAGATCATCGAGTTCCACCCCCCTGCTATGGGCAGGGACAACTCCCACCAGACCAGGTTGCCCAAGGCCACCTCCAGCCTGGCCTTGAACACCTCCAGGGATGGGGCCTCAGCAACCTTTCTGGGCAACCTGTGCCAGTGCCTCACCACCCTCACAGGGAAAAACTTCTGCCTAATGTTTAATCTAAACCTGCCCTCTTCCAGTTTAGAGCCATTCCCCCTCGTCCTGTCACTCCATGCCCCAGTAAAAAGTCCCTCCCCAGCTCTCCTGGAGCCCCTTTAGGGACTGGAAGGCGGCAATAAGATCTCCCCGGAGCCTTCTCTTCTCCAGGCTGAACAGCCCCAACTCTCTCAGCCTCTCCTCATAGCAGAGGTGCTCCAGCCCTTGGATCAGTCCAAGTCTTTCTTTGGTTAAATAGTACTGAAGAGATTCAACTCTGCAATCTCCTTTTAAATTACATGCAAATGAAATGTGAGCCTTTTACATTTTAGTAAATCACACAGTAGTCAAATACAGATGTAAAACCTTAAATAATCAAGCTGCAGTTAATGTAATCAAGGTACTCTTAAAATATTTATTTTGAACCATGCAAACGGCTACCAAAAAAAGTTGATTTTACCAAGTGCTTAAAAATTTTCTTGTGCTGGAGGAGTATATCTTAATGGGAGAAAGGTTCAAATTACTCTTGGAGATAACTCACTGTTCTCCTCTATTCACAAAGCGACGATCTTGCTAAAAGACTAGTAAGTATTGCTGAATTAGCTCTGAAGTTATCAACTCCCACCATCACCACCAGTGGTCACAGAGAGAAGGAATGACTCTTACAAAGCTCTTGAATCTGAGCTCCAAAGAGGACTCCGATAGACAAATACACTAAGGAGAAGGTTTGGAGAAAGTCTGGCTGCGTTAGTACTGTTATAGACTGAGTCACACTTAGGAACAGCAACACTTCACTTTTTTTTTTTTTTTTTTGTTTGGGAGAAGTAGAAAACAAAGGTATATGTGTAATCGCCACTAAGCTCTATTTGCAACCTACCTGTGGATGATATAATGGCGAAAGTATAAAACGTTGTTTATATCTAACATCAGGAAAACCAAACCCTAGCTATACATACTCAGTAACTCCTTGAAATTACATCATAAATGAGTAATTTTGGTACAAGGATTCGCTCTTTTAATGCTGATATACACATATATATATATATATCCCTTCAAAAGCCTAGTTGTATGAAGTTGCTCATGTATGAAAGCCAAAATATGAGATGGATCCTGCTTACAAAACTACAAAATAACAGGCCAGAGCAGAGGGAAGTTTACTATCCCCGTAGGTGACGAGCCCAGAGCTGGTTTGGCAGTAACCGTCCTCGGCAGCCACGCTGGCCAAAGGCACCGCTGCCTCTCCTCGCTACCCGTTCCCATTCCCTCAGGCAGCGATACCCTAAGCCAACTTCGCTGTGGATCATTCCATAAAGTCAAACAACAGCCAAAGAGAGGAGCTTTAGCGTTAAGAACGACCCGGAGGTGCAGTTTTGCAGCTGCAATTGCAGTTTTGCCGTTTCTGTCTTTCATCACTTTGTTCCCAATTTTGCATTCTAGAACAGAACTTTTTGCCTTGCTGGAATAAGACGTATTGATTTTGAGTTTGCCTGGAGTTTTATGTGAACTTGGGTGAGCGAAAAACCTGGAGTGACTGCCACCCAAGACAATCTGGAAGTCATCAGGGTTTGTCTTTCCATTGCCACTAGGCTACAGAAGCCCCTTTGAAGATTACCATCAACGCTGAGGACCACGGAGATGAAAGGAATCAAAACTGTAGGTCCTGATAACCCCTGAGCAAAGGGCAGAGACAGAGTTTGTGATACTGGGGGGGAAAGATGCTATCAACGCGATGCTACTCATTAAAACACGGTAACTTTTATCCCTCTTGTACTTTCCAAGGAAACAGAAAAATGGTTTAAAGGATAACACAATAAACAAATGAAATCTGGCTGAAATATTTATGAACTAAAAGACGCAGAAATGTTTTCAAAGATACATTTGGACAAAAAGTCCATTCAGTGACCAACAGCACACATTGAGCGAATGTGATTCCAAACAATGTTATAGAGTTTTCTGATGATTTGCGTTACTTTTTAGCTGCTAAAATGTTCCATTATTACAGATAAGAACAACAACTACGTTCTTCATCAATACTTAATCGTGTGGTCTGCAAGGCAGAGAATATTTTGCTCATTTCTTTGCAAGCTATTTTCGCGTGGCAGGGAGCTCTTGTAAAGCCAGCGCGACTGAATAGTTAGGCAAAAAAATTAATTCAGGCCAGAAAGCATTAGTTTTGCCAGGATATGTTAATGCTGATTGATGTTTGAGCTTAAGCATTAGCATTCTACAAATCTATTTATTGCTTAACAAACTACTTAACAACCGACCGGGGAGTAGATTACAAAAATCTCTATAAATGGGGGATCACTACAGAGTATGCCAGTGTCTAGCCTGCGTTTCGAGAGTAAGAGTTCAGCATGAGCTCATGTGCACAGTGCTGTGAATAAGAAGGTAAACAAGATTATTTCATATATGCACGTGCCACCATTACACAGCAACAGGGAAGCGGTCAGCTTAATTAATTTATTGAAGGGAAGGTTAAGAGAACTAACTCTGATTTACAAATACGTACATAGAGAAATAACCTGAGAAATAAGGCTCTTTAGTCTTGCCAAAGTTGCTTAACTAGGTAGAGCAATTGAAAGCCAAAGTATACAAAGTCCAGATGGGAAATAAGGTGACATTCAAATAGTGAAGTGCATTTCTCACTGGAACAGTGCACCCAAAGCCACGTCCCTTTCCCGCGGTCTTCACATCAAGGATATACCTTTTCCCCAAATATAGACACAAGCTCAAAGAGCTGTCCAAGGTCAGTGACGAAATTGTAGAGTTAAAGCTAAGGAGGAGGTCAGACTGTGCGATAATAACAGCCTCTCCTAGTGCTCAAGGCTTGGCTTGCACTGTTAAATCATCCACTAGCTATGAAGAAGACTGAACAGATATTGTAAGTATTACCCCAAAGTGTAGCTTGAATGTGATCAACCATCTAAGCTAAAATGTCCTTTATTTTCACTTGTTACTTAAATCAATTTGTACCCAAATCTCCTGCAGTAAGTAGCTACTACGTTGTCTGACTAAGCCACAAAGACTACAAGATACTAAAATAAAATAAATTTTGTGTGTATAGACACAATCAATTGCTACTGTTGCTGTTGTTATTTGTAATGTACTTCACGTGTGCAAACTTACTTCTCAAGGGTCCATCACTGATTTTTTTAAAACCCTTTGGCAAGCCTTACTTGTTGAGATCCACTAACTCAATGAGTAGCAAACAAGGCAAGAAATTTAATTTAATAAACAACTGTGGTACGACGATTGAGCTTAACAATCTTGTCTTTGTCTGAAAGAAAGTCTAGATAAAAAATGATCTCTGCTTGGCTATCTAAAAATTCCACGATGCCACTTGTAGTTAACTTTCCTTCATTTTCTGAAATGTCTTTCTTATTTTGTCTATCATGACATTCTGTCCATTTCTGTTAACATAACACCGCAGTTATACACCTTGGGCTTCAGATAAGAATGAGAAAATACAAATAATTAACCCTTCAAAACCAGTATCTACCGCAAATTGTAATCATACATTATAAAACCATTGAGATTTGGAAGTACTTTGGATGACCACTACCTTTGTTACATTTTCACAGAAAAATGAATAAAGCCCTTGACATGATGGGTTGGATGGATTAAAGCAATATTTATTATTACTAACAGATGCATTTCTGGATCAGATTTCCCATAAAAATTCTCTATAAAGAGTTTTGTCAGAATAAGACATTTTTTTCACCCGTGCCAAACTCCATTTCTAAAAGATGCACATGATTTTGCTTTAATTCCAAATCAAACCAGTGAATCAGGTTTGTCTAAATCTTCATGACTGGAAGAAGGAATAATTCCTACAGAACTCCATCTGCACATCTTCAGAGCAGCTGGATCTTCTAGGCAGGGGAATGCTGCCTGCCTACAACTGTTCTTCTGCAAGATGTCTTAAAGTCACTCTTCATACAAAACCTGCCAATTTAGGGACAGAATCTAGGGTAGATCCAGGAAATAGCTTTTTTCCTCAAGGAGATATAATATATGGCGAATTCTGTAAGTAGGGCATGAACCTCCTTTTCATTCCAGGCTGAGGTGATAACCAGGGTGCTTCTTAAAGATGTTAACAAAAGATACTAACACTGAGGAATGGGGTCTCTGACAGGAAGAAAGACCTTCACCAACTCTTTCAGAAACTTTGCAATTAAAGAATGAAATAACACAGACAAAGCCTTCTCTGCAGTTGTAATGACCAGTAGATACACTTTGAGTGATCTCAAGCCCATCTCTCTCCAACACATAGTTTGAGGAAAAGCTTCCAGAAGCCTTAAAGTAGAATGTCAACCTACACGTAGCATCAGACACGGTCCACTTTGTCACAAAGCACACGCAGAGGACTCATTCCCAGCGTTGATCAGAATCTGCATAGCTAGAGACCACCAGGCAGACTTTCAAGGGCTGTCCCTGCTGTGATGTGGAGGAAGCCAAAGCCTAGGTGATTTACCTGACTTGTATCTCATGTAAGAAGGTTCAGAGTAGAGGCAGGTCCTTGACCTCCATGCCAGGTCCTCCAGGAGTCTGAGACCAGAACCCCCTGGGGCCAGCTGAGGGTTTGAAAGATGACCCCATTTCATCCTGCTCTGCTTTACTGTTGTCAGTGGTGCAAGACAGGAACTGGCAAAA